TTTCTTCACCGTTGGGAATTTATCTTCTCGCCGTTCATTTGATGCATTATGCAGGCTTTAGCGCGTGGATAGTTCAGAGACCATGAAAATGATGTAATAATCCTGTCAAGGTCACCGATATTGATGAAAGAGTATCCATGGAAGGGCAAATTAAAACTACGCTGAGCGATTAAGGGGGGCAATCCCAGTGCAGATCAATAAAAGTAGAGACATTCTTGTCTGTTTTGAAAGTAAAACTATTTAGAAATGGTGTATGTGGTTCAAATAACGTGTCAGAAACTATTTTACTAAGAAGCCAACGATGATATCGACTTCTTTTTAATTGATAGGAGGCTAATCTTCTTGTGTAATTATGAAGAGTAGAAAGAACTGTTATTCAATTTAAGGAGAGCTTTCCAAAAATCTGTAGAATAACTTTCCCTCTTAACTGTCGTTCGAAAAGAATTTCTTGGAAAGATCGTTCAATTAAAAAAAAAAAAAGAGACACTGTGCAAGCATATTTAGGAAGTGACTGTACTGACAAGTAAGCGTATAATTATTGTCAACGCGTAATTAAGAAAGACAAGAAAAGGCAAACAATCGGTAAAGTACAATCATACATCATAGTCAGTCTCTAGAAATTTTGAAAATTTCCATTTTTTAATCGACTTACAAGGAATAAAATTAGTCCACAAACATTGTGTTCAATTTTTTTAATTATAATTTAATTGTATAAATAATTAGATAAATCTACTAATATGAATTAATAACTTTCGACCGTCCTATCAACGATTTACTTAAAATTATGCACTTTGTTACGAATTTGAAAAAAAAAACAATGCAATTTCAGAAAAGCGACACGTATTTCAGTAAACTATATTACTATTTTACTGGTCCGTTTCTCCATTTGATTCTCGTTATATTCTCGGTCGAATCTGTCGTCGCCTTCCCGTATTGTTTCACCGTGTATTGTTCCCTTAATCGTTAATTTGCTTGGAAATTGCTGTTTTTGCTCGCGCGGTGATCCATCAGGGAACTCATCAAATCCGGCAGAACAAGAAATAAATATACCGATCTATCATCCGCGCTTAGACTTCTCCCGCGCGCAATAAGTAATTGTCGGCGTTTTGGCGTGGAAAAAAAAAAGTATCAGAGATTTTCGGGAATCTGTTCTCGATCACGCGCTGACGCGCGTTTCCCCTCTCTGCACACTCGCGCCGTTCAAAATGTAATTTACCGCTCCAAATCGACCGACATCCATCAACCGGGAAAAAGTGACGGCTCCCCGATTTCTTTGCAGCTGACTACGATCATCGAAATCGAGGATATATCCGAGGATCTACGCGCGCATAACGCACACACGACCGTGGATAAATCATGAAACCGTTTTTCAACCACTTTTTCCTTTCACTCTACCATGTTAGAATTTCATTACATTCTCTGGAAGGTTACAAAATTCTTCTCATGAATTTCGTACTCGTATCTCAAACTAAAATAAATTTTTGTTAATAACATAGCCTCGATACATTTTGATAAATTTTATCATGAAAACACATCGACGTAATTAAATAAATTTGTTTGACTCTGTATTTGTACAGAATATAACAATTATTTTCCTGTCTATTTCTCGAAACAAGTCATTTTCAAACCAACATAAACTCTAAACAAAATTGAGATAACCAAAATAATTTCAAAAATTTACAGGTTCTATTTACTCTCAAATACTTTGGAAGAGCACGTAATTTTTCCACAGTCGACCGAATATTAAGAGATTGCTATTCGTGGATATTATCTGCACAAATGTTTCGCGTTTGCGAAACATACAAACAGCACCAAGTTCTTCGCCCACGCTTGAAAACCTTCGATCATCGAGGTCTTGGAAACTTATTCATTGGCCCTCGATCGCGTTGAATGAAATCCCCGGCTATGAAGTACGACAAGTGCGTTATCAAACACGAGCGATACGCAGAACACGGATTCCGACAACCTGTGCACGAGCATCGATCAGAGTTGGTTATCGCGAGACCGGAAATACTACCACACGGGGCACGATTGCCTCGTCGATTCGCGCGTTCGCGGATACATTTGTTCAAACGAACCCGTTCGATTTGTTTGTACTCCAGAGAAACGGAAAACAACGCTTCAACAGTTTCACGCCAGCGTAAAAATTCTTTCTCTAATACCAAAATTCATGCGTAGGTTTCGTGAATGGAGTTATCCTCGTTCGGATATTCAATTTTTCTCATCGAGTTTAAAGTTTCAAGGGGATTTGTCCAACCTTCTACAGACGTGGAAGACGAGGACTTCTCTAAGGTAAGCATACAAGGACGATATATTCCTTTTAACAATTCAAATATGGTTTCTAAGTACAGCACCTATTATGTGCAACTTTACGACAAGAACTTCTGTTCTATTTTTTCATAAAATCAAAATAGAGAAAGAAAGAAAGAAATAGATCAAAAACATAATGGAACTCATCAATTTCTTAAAAAACATTACTGTATATAATATTGCCCTAGCTGCCAGTACGACTTTAAATAAAATTTAAAAAATTCAATATTACACTAACGAGTGAGATCCATAGATTTATAACATCTTTGACAATTTTCTCTGGTTACCACGTTGACTGCCAGTCTAAAACCGTAAAACTGTTTATGGAACCAAAACTTTGATTTCAGACAGTTTAGACAGTCCCATAACTGTACAACTCTGGATCTAGTACTTTTTTCAGAAACTGTATCCCTTAAGAAATAATTAAAAAACACGTATTTAAATTTCATTCAAATCAGTGAGTATCAGTTGGGTAGTGTTACTTGTTAGTACTTACTTTCGTAACATCGCTAAAATTTATGAAGCCTGTTAAAATTCATTTTATTTAACATTTCAACTCGAGAATTAATTGTTTTGATTCCACTGTCAATGGATGACGTGGCAGTCAAGGTGTTAAAATTATCTGTTAGTTTCTGACTCGCCACTGGATTATTAATTTCACTGAATTTCAAGGTTATTCGACGTACCCCTGATCTTGGATCCCTCTTCTGGCGTACAGAGCCATCGTGTCCACGTAACCAGAGCCCATCGAGTATTTACTAAACGCTGTTTGCCACGATCGACGCCACACGGTTCAGATTTTGCAGCCAGAGGTGACGCGACCACGATGCTCTCTCGAAGCTTACGCGTTAGAAATTCGCAATTCCAAGCCCCGAAGGGTAGACGGCGCCCGTTCAAACTCTCATCAGGTCTAGCGTCGGAACTATGGCCGTAGCGCCAGTTATCCGTAGAACGACGGGGGCGAGAGTAGAAGCTTAATTGGCCGACTAATACCGAACGCCGCGTGATGTAGTCCGTAAATCGCGGCCAGATTCGAGTATTAGGGGCGATAGGTGATCGATGACGCATAAATCTTCGCGATGCGTGCCTTCCAAATCCCTAATTCCGAATCCCTTTCCCCGATCCGCGTCGTTAGGACGACATTAAGCCTCCTTTCCTGCCTTTTTGCCAAAAGGACACAGATCGCCCGTTTTTGCGAGAGAATCCAACGAATTTTGTTATCTTCGTCCCCCACGTAATCTTCGACGTCATTATCGGGTGTACACGTATTGTTCGAACAGTTCAATCTCTTCTCTAACAGTCGATGCTTTCGAAATTTTCCCATATTTGGTTTCAGATACGTTGGAAGTCGCTCCTCTATAATTCGCCCACGTACAACGCGTCGAGATAAACTGATTTAATTTGTGCATTGCAAAGTTTATCTCCAGTATATCTATAATTCGCGTTTCGCCGGAGCCTCGACCCAATAAACACGATTCAAGTGCGAATCGCGATAATAGATTCGCTATTCATCGCGTTACTCATGCACGGCCGCATTACGAAACCTGTGACGATAATCTATGTTTACACAGCAGTGAGCAGTGCGTAACTGGTTTCCTGTATCTGCGGGAATCGAGTAAATCCACTCTGGATTTACATTTCGCGTTTACTTAACAAGCGGTCAGTGCCTCTACACATATTTGCACCGATAGCTTTTAGAGTCGAGATCGTTTATGGTAATTTCTTGAACTTGAATTTACCTACGACTTAAACGTAAGGTGGTAAGGTATGGTTGAATTTTTTCATTTTTGGGTTAGTTGTTGAAATGATTCAACGAAAGACGTATAATGTATATTATATAAATAATATTTGATTTTTCCTCGTGTATTTTCTCGGTGTACCGTACGGTGCAGTTTTTAATTTTAACGCGCTGGACATCAAACAAAAATATGGAGAGTTTTCGGCCGCGTTACGGAGCAAGGAGCAAGCGTTGGTAACAATAAATATTTCGTCGAGAGGGATGTAGGCGCTAAGTGCAGCTTAACGATATTAGCCGCTGTCTGGAAGGTTCATAACGATCAACATCAAATTACGGTGTCCCCTAGCCTTGATAAGTACTCAGTTTACCTGGAGATGGCGAAAGGACGCTTTTTAACGTTCTAATGGCTAGATGCTCAATCAGGAAAGGGTGATATCGCTTTGGAGCATCCGACGCTCGACAATAACCTTTTAATGCCAATAAAGTTTTTAGCGCCATATTTTTAACGTACGAGCTTAACGTGTGTCTACGTTACCTTCTAAAGCGGGCAGAAAGGGAACGGTGACATAAATTTAATCTTCCTATACGAAATGTTCAACTTGGCACGTTTAAAATACTGTGGCATTGAGAATACAGACAAGAATTTCAGATAAAAATTATAGACTCGCTGAAAAGGGCAGTTTCACGTGTCTCACAAAATTCGTAACTACTCACTTATACGATGTAACCTCGACAGAAAAGCTTAGAGCTGGTAACTTTAACGAATAAATCCATAGACTCACAGAAAAGGGTGGTTCCACGTGTCTCACAAAATTCCTAACCACTCGTTACCACTAAAAATACTCCGAAGTAACTAACTTATACGATTTAACCGTGACAGAAAAGCTCAGAGTTTGTGACTTTAAATTCGTCCGAAGAAGGTAAATCGCATTAAACGAATAAATCGACTCACCGAAAAGGGCTGGCGGTTCCACGTCTCTGACAGACAAACTCGACGACGCCTGTGAGCCGCTGGATTCGGTGCTCTGCATGCATCTGAGTCTTCTTCTGAGCTTGGGCATATCGAACGGCAAGTCTCTCAAATCAACGCTGGTCGCGCTGCCGGATGTTGTGGCGTCCTGTTGCATAAGCAATCGTCTCCTCCGCAGCTTGGGCATGTCGAACGGCAGATCGGACAGCTCGGGCTCGTTATCAACTAAATTGATATTATCCAGCTGCGGTTTCAGCAAGTGGGAACCGAACGGCTTGCATTTGATCCCAGCCCGCGACTCGATCGAGATTCCGCTGTCCGAGCCTTGGATTTCGGCGTCGCCCGATGACGAGGACTGCAGGGCCAGATTGATCAGATTCTTGTTCTGCGGGGCTCGCCTCTTCTTGAACGACGTGTCCATGGGCGAGGTCACGGAATTCGTGTTCGTGTTCGTGTTCACTGTATTCGTATTAGTATTGTTGGATGCTGTCACGTTGTTCTCCGTGGTGACGTTCTCCTCGGGCGAGGCCTTCTGCGAGTTGTTGTTCCGATTGTTGTCCGAGGTCTCGGACGCTGGCTCCTGGGACGATTTATCGGAAATGGGCGACAGTATGTGCAGCTTGTTCGCGTGATGGGTCAAGAAACCGGTCATCGACGGTTGCTGGTGATGATGATGATGGTGGTAGCAGTTGGTGCTGCCGCTGTCCGAGCTGTGGGAGCTGAGGCTGGTGCTGTGACGGCTCTCCGAGCTGCTGGTGGACCTGTTGCCCTCGCTGGTGCTGCTGCGAAGGGACTCCATGCTGCCCCCGCTGCTGCTGGTAGCCATGCTCTCGGTGCTCGAGTATCCCGGTCTGCGTCTGCTGGTCCTCAACTTGAACTCCAGGAGGCCCACGTCGCGACGCGGTCGCAACAGATCGCTCTCGGCCTCGTGGGGCCTGCCCTTGAACTCCATGATAGGCTTGCTCTCGCGGATCAAGCTACGCGGTCGTTGCCTCTCCTCCCTCGGCCTGCCCTTGAACTCCAGTATCAGCTCCTTGTCGAAACGTCGCCCCTGGGTGGACTCCACGTTCTCTTGAGCAAAGTTCTTCGGTCTGCTTTTGATCTCCAGTATGCTGCCCTCGCTGCTCTGCGGCGAGTCCTTGGCCCTCAGCAGAGACTTGACCGGAAGTCTCAAGTCCTTCAGCCGCGGATGGTCCGGCTGCGAAGGTAGATTCGGTGTGCTGCGTATATTCAGCAACAAGTGATCCCGGTTCCCGTGGAACTTGGCCGGCAACGGTGCCGTGGATGGAGGCGACGGTGTGTAACCCCTGGCTGGCAGCCGGGGCGAACCATTCTTCTCGTCGCTTGAGTTTATCTGGAGGGATTCGATATCTTGGGACAGAGTAGAAATATTGTCTGATTGCTGTTGTTGCTGTTGCTGCTGTTGCTGAAGACGGCTCGGAATTGGTTTTGGGCGGAGAAGTACGACTTTGCGTCTGTCTTTGCTGCTGTGGGACTGCCCGGCGTACGGGACCTGCTGCGGCTGCTGCTGCTTCGACGTGTCCGTCGACGAACTCGTTCTGCTCACTGGTATCGCGCTACTGCTTCTTATCTAAGCAGGAAACAATTTTTTTTTTAGATAACAAATGGATTTTTGAACGTTAAGTTATTATGTATTCTACAATAAATATTACGACCTTAGGCTTAAGGCTGCAGCCCTTTGCATTTATATTAAATCCTACTTACGCGTCGCGAAGGTAATTTGATAAGCACGTACCAGCCAAGTTACGCGGTTTAACACCAATTAAAGTCTAATTTCCACTCGGTGGCGGGAGATACGTAATTCGTGGACGGGAATTCCGTAACATTTTTAGCCATATTAGTTTTCAATTGCACTTCATTAAAGTTTGGATCCTAGTTTCATAATGTCGGAAAATTATACAACGTGAGATTTTGTTCAATGAATAGCTTCTAGAGTTCAAAATATTGTTCGAACGAAAATGATGTTTTTGTAAGTTCATTTTCAAACAATTACTGAAATTGTTTCATTCTACTTTTGTAATATATTAAACGAAGATGCATTAAACTATATGCCTGTATCTGTATGTTACTGTAAATTCTACGATTTATAAATGAAAATCGATTGAATCGCTAGGTGTACGATTTTAAGTGGCAGTCGCTTTATGTCATAAATAGACATGAAGGAAGCTTTGTAGAGGGTGGTCTGAACCTCTAAATATAATAATTCGTATCTTACGTATTCCTCATATTTTTAAATATTAAGTGCATTCTGTAGTCTTTTGAAAATCAAAGTTTCTCATAAAGGCATAAAAATCCACACGACAAAATACGAAGCAAGAGATTGCCAAAGCATCGAAAAGTTCTCGACGCACGGGTCAGAAAGTGCTCTTAATGAACGTGTTGCGCAAAGCTTGTTCGAAAGCTTTGGAAATATCAGACTCGACGATGAAAAGGGACGAGGTCGTCGAAATATTTTTGACGGTCTTAAAAACGGGTTGAATTCCATTCGGGATCGATGGCTCATGAATTATTAAAAGCCGTTTTTTTTTTCGAAAACAACGAACCATCGTTTTTCGTGTATATTGCGCTATGGCTCTCAACCTTCCGTTTAAAAACAGTGAAGCAAGTCTCAATGGTTATTTTTTGAAACTTTAGCTTAAGTCTGAATGTTTATAAAAAAACGAAACGATTAAATGTGACGAGAAAGGGTTGAAAGCGTTGAAATGACAAGACCAACCTGCGAGTGCAAGACTGGATGATTGGTGACCCGATCAAGGTCGTCCAGGTCGTCGTCGGACCGATTGACCTTGCAGTCGAAGGCCGTCTCGTAGAGGTGACGTTGCCTAGCCATTTCTTCCTCGTCTTCCTCCGCCTCCGCGTCCTCCTCCTCCTCTTCCTCGCCTTCGTCCTCTCCTTCCACGTCGTCCTCGTCCTCGACGAGTATCGGTTGCGGATCTATTCTGCGTGTACGTCGTAGCTTGCGCACTTGATGCCGCGTTAGATGCGGCTGCCGTTCATCTAGCTCATCCTCCTCTTCGTCTGGCGATGCGATACAGGTACAAACCGTGGTAGGCAGGTCATGGCTCAACAGTCTATGCGGAGGCATGAGTGTGTGATCCCACTCGGTGATGATGCACGACGAGAGGATCTCGTTCCTGGCTGGGACAGCATGCTCGCTCCCCGACGTGGGGCTCACTAGATCCTCGCTACGATAATGTTGCGGCTGCGGCAGCTGTTGCTGCTGCTGTTGTAGTTGCTGAGACGAATAGGTACCCCCATCGCCCGCTACGGAGTTCCTCTTCGGTATACCGGGTGTTCTCGAACGTTCGCCCGGCACGTCGAGACTCACGCTTTTCCTGTACTTGTTCGGTTGCGTCTTGCTGATCTGCTCGGGCACCTTGAACAGGTCGCCGTAGTAATAGGGTGACGGATGACGTATCGGTTGATTAGACTCTGTGGGTGATTGATCCGTCTGGTGCACCAGGGCTACGCAGCCCAACGACGCTACTTCCTTGTCCCTGTCTACCGAGGCAGCCCGTGTCGAGGAAGACGCGTACACGCTGTTCTTGCGCTTTCTGATGTCCGCCTGGCGACCGTCGTCGTCATCCTCGCAGGACGATGCCGAAGCCGAAGGGTCTGCAACGAAATACCAGTACACGTTAATTAGAGACACTTATGGTAAAAGGATACTCATCGTTAACCCTTAAGTGGACTCTCAATCTCAACTGAATTATTTTACTTAATGTTGATTTTTGCCAAATTGGTCAATGGAAATCAAATTTATCTTAAAGCATTTAAAAAATAATGAACTAGTGGAGGATTATATAAATTTTCAAATAATTACATTGACATATATTAAGTAGTTGTTAGTTTAAACTTTTAGAGGGTCGCAGCAGCCCCATCCACCAAAGGGTTAAGGCATCCTAGCAGATTATATTTTCAGTAAGGAACTTTTTTCTCAAAAGTGCGTAGGATTTCTGGGATATATGTATTGACCAAAAATGGTTGTAATTAACCCCCCTAGCTAAGAGTAATTTTTTTAGCACGATTTAAAAAATTTTTTTTAGACATCTACTATACTTATTTTTTTCTCAAAAGTGCGTAGGATTTTGAAGGTATGTGTATTCGCCAAAAATGATTCTAACTCTATTTTGATAATCATGCTCTACTACTTTGCTCACTAATGGGATTTTATCGAATAGATAAAATAAAATAAAATTCACATAACAAAACCTATTTGTACTATATTTTGCAAGACTAAAATTTTGATTTTACAGCATCTTGAACTACATAACCTCAACATTTCTTTCGGTATAAATTTATTGCCCCTCAACGTCCCGACTTAAGAATTAATTTTTCTACACCCATGTGTGGCGCGATAGTAAGAGCGTTTAGATAGATTTAGAATCATCCAACTTGTATAAAAGGAAGGGGCCAGAGACGACGAAGGTTGTGTTTGAAGTCGCGACAGGAATGTATAAGGAAGGCTATCCCACCCGAAAATGAAACCGCCAAAACGACGCGAAATTTTCATAATCGTTCCGTTATAACAGTGGCATCGGCTACTCAGACGCCGACGAACGAGAGCAAAAATGCTTATGGGGAGAACGAAATTGCCGTGAAATGGCAGCCTCCTCTCCTTAAAAATCACTTCCTCCGTCCGCGAGGTATTACCGTAATGGTTTCTGGCCTGGCTGCCCGGCTGACACGGTCCCTCGAACCGTTCCCCTTTTCTCTATCGTTTCTTTCGTGCACTTTGCCTCCGCCCTGGCGTCGTCCAACCCCTGCCTGGTTTACGATCGCGTCACGACCATCGGAGGCAAACGAGGCTAGGTCGGACAGGAGGTAGCGGGAAATTACGCGGACACCCGGTACGTTAGCCAGCCAACGTACGCACGCAGTACAGACGAAAGGACTGGAGATAATGGGAGCATTACGCTCGGCCGGAGGGCTCTAGCGAAATCCTTCCTCGCTGCTCCTTGCTGGGGTGGTAAGTGCAAGAGGCACACCATAAACTACGCCAGAAGCTGTTTCTGACAGGGACCGCCTTCCCGGATATACGGAAAAACTTTTCCAATGGGGGCAAAAAAAATTATTATCGGAATCCTGTCTGATCTCTCGTGTCTCTGGCTTCGCTGAATACCTGAAGAGGGCTAACGCAACGTGGATTACAAGCAAGATAGAATTAACAGCTGAGATGTTGCGAGGGTTCTAACTAATGTTTCCGACTCTGTGGAATATGTTTTAGAGATTGAAAATTCTTTAAAAATAAGTTTATCGTACGTCGATCCACTTTTTCGAACTTCAATATTCGAAACTTCCGTCGACTTTAGGAACATCCAACGGTCGAATGATCAATGCTACTGTTACGCAACGAATATTATTATGGTACCGTGAAATAGTTATTATGAGAAGTGTTATCGAACGAAAGATGTAAGAGAGTGTATATTCTCGCGCGCAAATTTTCGCCGAGAGCAGCGTATGAACTTATTACATATTTCCAGGCAGTTTCATTATCGCGAGACCACTGAAAGTTCGTTCGTCCTATACGAGAGTACAAAAGGCCCCGCCCGGACCGTGAAACGCGAAATGAGAAATTAATTCCTGAACAATGATTCCCGGAAATTATAACGCGTGCCGCCGCTTTCACGAAATTGCGGACGTGTCTCGCGCGATTCCTTTTCACCTCTCCTTTCGACTTTAGCCGCACGTTCTGGCCATATAAGGGACCAAGAGCACCAACGCAAGATGTAAAGATATTCGTGTTCTTTTATACAGTGTCCTGCAAAATGTATTACCAGCAACCCGGGATGGGAGGTCTCCTTGAAACAGGAAACACAAAATATATGCGATGGGTATAAATAAATCTCTGAAGGTGGACGTATTTGCAATTTTATTTCCCTTTCGAATTTTCGATACTACTCTATTTTCTATCGATACTGGTTTCATTAACTTTTGAATAAAGGAAATCCATTAAAAGAAATGATGTCACATCAGATTCGGGGTTTGTAAACACCAAACCAAGTAGAAAAGATAGATATTGGTCAGACACAGAACCAAAAGATGCTCAAACAAAATTTTCTCAACAGATCTCGATAGAATTTTGTAAACATATTCTTAAATTACAGAATAGGGTTACTTTATATTAACTTTTGGTTGATTTAAGTAGAAAAGGTAAATATTGGTCAGACGAAGGACCAAAAGATGCTCAAATAAAATTTTCTCCACATACTTCGATAGAATTTTGTAAACATATTTCTAAATTACAGAATAGGGTTACTTTATATTAACTTTTGGTTGATTTAAGTAGAAAAGGTAAATATTGGTCAGAGGCAGAACCAAAAGATGCTCAAACAGAATTTTCTCAACAGATCTCGATAGAATTTTTTAAACATATTTCTAAATTACAGAACGGGGCTACTTTATATTAACTTTTGGTCGATTTAAGTAGAAAAGATAAATATTGGTCAAACGCAGAACCAAAAGATGCTCGAATAAAATTTTCTCCATTATTTTCTATTGTTTGACAATTGGTATGCCCTGGAAATTGTTAATTCGCTTGTTTACTCCGACATGTGTCCAGATTTAGTTTCGAATGTACAAAATTAGACTCGTTCAGTATAGTCAGAGGCCGTCGAGTTCGAAACACCGGAGTCGCCTTGCGGTCCCCGACCGTTCGATATGTACGACGAATTGATGCATTGTTGGAATGGCGCACGCCCAAAACATCCATCATGTTTCCGTGTCAACGGCGCTAACGTTCGTTTCGCATGCATCATGCACGAAAAAACCGATATCGCTCCGAAGGTTCTCGCGATTTCGTCGTTCGCGAACGATTTTTGATATTATAAAAGTGGTGCGATAAAATTCGAAAAATCGTTTCATCCTACACACACGTAATCCGATCTACTAAAACAACCATGATACTTCGACGATACGGCAGTGTGGCACGTATAACGAAACTAAGGGAGATATAAAAATTCGTGATAGGGTGAACATGCTTAAGTCATGTCTTCTACGAAACTCTTCCTCTTGTAAAATTTTTGTAGCAGCATGTTCTTAAGAAACGAAAAATAATAAATTTGTTATAATCTAATTTAAATGTGTGGCACTTTGTGGGCGATTTGTTTACAATTTAATTCAACGCAAGGGATTAAATCAGGCGTACGAAATTATAATAAATGTAAATAAGAAACGCAATATCGGACCGTGCTCAACATTTATGCTTGAAAAATTATATTAAAGCAATACGATGGAATATAACAGAGGGGTTAAAAGCAACGCCTGAACGTTAAACGCGAATGAAAGTCGACTAAGGGTGTACGTTCGAGGCAATATGAATATGCATCCGCAGCTGCTCCGTTCGGCCGTTGTACAAAAGATACTAGCTGGAATCTGCAGAGGAACAAATATATTAAGAAACCCGACACAGCCGTACAACATGATTGCGAATATAAACGAAGGCTCGATATTGGGTCAAGTAACAAGAAAGAAATTAAATTCTCGCGATGTTTTCATTAAGAACACTTCTGGGCACAATTGTTACGCCAAAAGGAGATAAAATATTCTTGGGAAAAAATTTTGCAGACGATATTGGCAAGGCGTTAGGTTTTATCGAAGCCTGAAGTATTTGTGAAGAGGGAATATTTAAAAGAAATATGAGTTTTCTATACCAACAGAAGTTTAAGATCAAATAAAACGATTAATTAAATCGATCACTTTGCTTGCTAATATGATAGAACAATGAGGGATAACAAGGATCATTCATAAAAAGTTAAAGTAGATACAAATATTTTGAATTTAAATAGAGTATTATATATTCTAAACTTTAGTATTGCTTTTATAAAACAATTTCTTTTCTGCCTAGATATTATGAAATATCGTTACGATCAAACGCGATCACTAAGCAGAATTAAACACCGGATTATTCCGTGGTCATGTTTGTATGAAACCTGAAATCAGTGGACCCGTGATGATCACTGATGACATTTAGATCATGGTAATCGCCGGAGGGTCGTCATAACATAATTCCACAATTCCGGGATTGTGACTGTCATAGCTCACGACTCTATTGTTATCAGTATCGATTATTATTGCTCCGAACTAGCCGGAAATTAAATTCAGCGAATTAGCGAACGTCAATGTTAAATTTCACGATACGAAAATCGTCAGGATTAGGTTCTCTATGCGTCGACAATCACTACTGAATTCCCTGCAAATCGGTGGATACCTAATTTTCTATAATTGCCGGACATTGTTATCCAATTCGCTTCGAATTAACAATTCTGGAATTCTAGTACCAAAGGGGTTAATGGCTAAAATTCGACAAACTGGAATCATTTAATTACTCCATGCTACACATCGAGTAGTTGTTGATAGTTGAACATAAAATGTTTATGTCTCCTTCTCACAATTAACACTTGTACAAAGCTCATACCATTACGAGTATTTTCAGGGCTTAAATTTTGGCGACGAATTCGGGCCACTGGATCGCGTTCGTTCCAGATTCCCCGAAACGGGAGACATTTCCAAACGATAAAAACGAGTCATTCCAAATATTTGTCGCTACCCCACGGACGCTATCAAAGGTTCGTTCGAAGTCGTTCGTCGGGCGATTAGCAGCGTCGCACGTGCAC